AGCGTATTATTTCGACTGTGTTTGTGAGATTGTCTGCAAGGCTGCTGTTAGAAACCATGGAGCCCCATACAGGCAACATGGCAAGGCCCTCCTCAAAGAAAAAAAACAACACAGTTTACTATGCTTCAGTTATGAATGAACACCATGAGTGATTGGTACCGATCACTTATTGTGTTCATTCAGAAAGGGAAGGGGCTGGTAAATGTGGCATATTTAGAAGACCCTTCCCCAACTCTCCATCCTGAAGGATCCTATTGTGCGCTTGCAGCTGCTGGTGGGAAGTAGGGGAGGGAAGCCAGCAACATTGTGGGGATGAGGGCACACAGGTGGGCCTGGGCAGCAGGGGGAAATGTATGATGCACGGGAAAGGTGATAGGCACACCAGGTGGACAATTACTGGAACCAATCCCCTGTATGGCTCCAGCTGCAGCAGCTGAAAGCCAGCAGCAAGAGTTAGAGAAGAAGCCAGCTTTCAGCTGCTGCAGAGGGAGCCATACAAGGGATCGGTTTCAGTAATTGCTCCCCCCGCCACGCTGATCACCCTCCCTGCCCACATCTGATTCAGACAGCTTCCTGGGCCACGTACAGGAGGACTGGTGGTACCCCTTTATCCACAGCTCTGCTTGTCTGTACCTACTTGACCATCAGCCTGTTACATCTGCTATAGTCCATCATTACTCAGTTTTCCTGTCTGAAACCTACTGATTAGTAAACCCAACATCTTGTTGAGGAGATTTCAGAGCAGTTTACACATGCTAACCAGCAGAACTCTGAAGTAAAGCAAAAAAAAAAAAAAGTTCTTACAGGAAAATTAAGTTTAAATCCCACAGGTACAGGATCTGTGATCTTAATGTCTAACTAAAGACAAAACATTTGTGTTAGTTTTGGAAAAGCTGGATTAGAACACCTATTATGTTTATTGCATATATTTTATTACTGTCTGTATCCCCGTTAGGGAGATTCACCCTATTCTTTCTGTTTACAGTTATCCTTGAAAGTGAAAAAAAAAAGGAAATCCCAAATTTTGGTATTTCCCCAGAAAAGTAATAGTGGGGAAATCTCCCAATGGGGGCACTAGTTCTGGTGACCTAGGGGGCCCCAATGGATTATGTTAATTTGCAAGGATTTGCCAATGCGACACACACATGGCAAAAAAAAATCTGACAGTTGTAATAACCACCCTTTATGCTATCCAAAATGAGAAAAAAGGTTTTGCCTATAGTTCTACTTTAAGATGTAATGTGTAACTTCACAAACTGAGTAAAAAACAATTTAAAATTACATCCAATATATAAATGAACTAGAGATTCCACCTTTCTAATCTTTCTGAGATGCCAAACCTTCATGCCAACTGAGTAGCATACTAAAAATAGGCTCATTTCATTGGAGTTTACTAACAAAAACCCCATTAAATCTTCTCCTTTCTGTGCTAGGTAAATGAGTTATTACTAAGCGAAAAAAAAAAAAAAAAATTGTCCTGTTTGCTACAATGATTGACAACATTTGCACTGACATCTTCCTCAATGCAACTTTTACTTAAGAGTAGTCCATAGAAAGAGTAGCAATCAATTGCTACACCAATAGAATAAATTGTTTCCTATGGTGTAAAGCAGGGTATACAAAGACCAAAAATCAGCTGGTTGAGCAGTAACTAGCTGTCTCTACATCAGAGTGCACTGTTGTCTGTTCAACAGAATGGCTTCTGTCAAATAGTAATACTGTAAAACCAGCATTCGATCAGTGCTTTCAGCCAATGTCAGAATACAATAGTATAAACTGCTGCTCACCGGATATTTTCTCTTTTTCAGACCATTCTCTGTAAACTCTAGAGATGGCTATATTTGAAAATCCCAGTAGATTAGCAGTTTTTGAAATATTCAGACCAGCCTGTCTGGCACCAACAACCATGCCACATTCAAAGTCACTTAAATCTCCTATCTTCCCCATTCTGATGATGTTCGCTTTGAACTTCAGCAAGTTGTATTCACCACGTCTAAATGCCTACATGCATTGAGATGCTGCCATATGATTGGCTGATTATCAATTTGTGTTACCAAGCAATTGAACAGATGTACCTAATAAAGTGGCCGGTGAGTGTATGTAATAAATACAAGCTTAAAGCAAACTAAAGCTAAAGCACTCATTAAAATCTCAGATAACATTTGACAAGCCAAAGTAAATACAACATTTATTTTCAATCTTTTTAAACTTCATGTTTAGGACTGACTCCCCTATTTGTCCATCTACACTACTGGAACACCCCTGACCCATTCACTTTCACTGGTGAATGGATCCTAATTGCTGAAGAAACCAGTGCTATGATATGTTCTGTTACATCCCTACAGTATTCTCTTGTGGGTCCAGGGTAGTGGGTGGGTCCTTGACACTCTGAGTTCACAGGAAGTGGGTTGAATGATGCTGGATGAGCAGCTCTGAATCAGTAAGTGGATAAGTCTGCATGGGTCAATGCTAGACATAAGGAAAGCATAGCAGCCAGAGCTGCTTTTTTACTTTGCCGAAAGGCTGGGCAGTTCATTATTTCTTTTTTTGCTCAAGGTTGATGTAAGCTTTAAATCTGCAGTGTTCATTAACCTCCCTAGCGGTATGATTATTTCAGATTTTTGGTGCTGAAAGCGGTACCATTATTTTGCATGGAAATATGTAGTTTTTTTATTGTAGGCTGTAATTTTTAGGAATAATTCACTGAAATCTGTCCGAACAAGAGTCTAGTAAACATCCCGGGTAGGATAAAATTTGAAACACAAAATCATAAATTATAATTTAATAAATAATCATGAAAAATAATAATATAATAATAAATTTAATTCAATAATCAAACCAAAAACACTGAAATTTGAAATATAGCGCCAAGTTCACACATTGCTGAGCAAAGTCACAAAATCGTTTTCAGTGTCTGATGACGAATTTCCCCACGAATCATTATCACTCAATTCTGCAAATGGTTCTCATTTACTATCGCTGTTCTCTAGCTGGTCTAAACCCGCTTCTGACCTAAAGGGACGCTTTTTGGACGCCATGGACAGTTTCCAGGCAGAAAGAACAGACAAAATGCAGGCAGGGCACAGGACAAAGCACTAGGGACAAAATGTATGTGAAATGGGTTGAAACAGCAATGTTTTACTATGTAAAATTTGTTTGGAAAAAAATGAAATTTTTTTTTAAATTTTCAAATTTCCCGCCGCGGCTGCGGCGGCGTCCGTACGTCCCGACGTCACAGGGACCGGAACACAGAAGCTGGATGGCAGCATCGGCCGGAGGAGATGGCCAGGGACGCTGCAGGGGACACATCGCGGGAGCGCAGGACCAGGTAAGCTCTGCAGGGACTCCCTATGCAGCGCCGCATGGTAAGCCCGCGTGTAGCTCGGGGTTACCGCTTTTGGTACTGACATTTTACCTCGAGCTACACTCGGGAATATCGCTAGGGAGGTTAAACAGTACCTGGTAATCCTGTAATGAAGATTCTTGCTTGGGCACTTCCTGTTATGGGGTGACAACACTCTGACCTTGTCTGTAAATTTCTAACCAGTGTTGTCATCCTGTCCCTTTACATTTTACTGGAAACTACAACCATCATACCAAACTCATTTTGTATGCATGAAGACAGGAAGTTGGTTAATAATGCTGAAGAAAATTAGCAAAGTTACAATGCAAAACGGGCTGAACAAAAGATCAAAACTGTTAAAAAAAAAAAAAAAACAACAGACAATTGTTCGTGGTATGCACAGTGCTTCAACTTCAATTTCCCCCAGTTAGGAGTTTAGATCTACTTGAAGTTTCATTTTATAGATACTGAAAAAAAAATAACTTCAGCAGCATAAAACAAAGTATGCACAAAATATGTTAAATATTTGTATTTGTTAGTGGAGTATAAAAGATTTTTTTTCTTCACGGATGTCCCCCAGGGTACATTTAGCAGACCTTTTCAATCAGTTCATCATTTGTTATTCCCGTCCTCAATAGATTTCATGTTACAGGCTTGTGTCAAGAGACTCCATATGTTTTGGGATTATTGGCAAACCAAAATGAGTGAATGGAGAATACATTAGTAGCAGGCCTGGGAAAAATGCTACCAGAGGAACACTTGTTTAATTTTCTGTACCAAGATCCTGGGACACATAGACATCTCAGCCTCATTCAAGTGTGACATTTTGTTTGATTTTGACAGTGGTGGTGACCTTGTCATTAACTGAAGCTTCTAGCAACATTTCCTCTCGTTCAGTTAATTTTTAAGACCCCAATAAGAATTTTAATCTTAACAGCAGCCATAAAGGAAGAACAAGGGGACAAATGAATTTTGCGGAGATGTGAAGATTTTCAATTAACACTTTTTTTCATCACATAAAAAAATGTATTTATTTAGCCTGCGGCTCATGGCCATTAATGAGAACTATTCTTAATTAGAGTTATTCAAGGTCTGAAATACCTGCACTTACTAGAGAATTACTTAGCCCAAAAGAATAAAAACAAAACCTTTTTAATGGTGCTCAAACGAAGACAATTATTCTAGCTTGTTGGTAAAATAAATCTGTTGTGTATTCTTGTAAAGGTTTTAAAGGTGATGACCAGTTTTGAGGTCTACTTACATTAAATTAATGGGATTGGGACACTGTGCACCCTAGAATAGAATTAAGCCTTGGCAGGCAAGTAATAGAGAACCATACATGCCAGGAAAATAAAATAAAAAACCATGCTTTTCTTTTTTCTAAAATGCCTAGGCTTAAAATGATCTACTTCTCTCATCAACTGATGAAAAAAAGACACACTACTCATAACTGAGCACTAAGAAGGATGACATTTTTGCGGGATATCAGAAGAATTCAAATCAAACCAGAAACTTCTGCCATGACCCTGCACTCACTATATCTGGTCTCCCACAGTACACACAACATGGAAGTGCAATTATTTTAGTAAATAAAAACTGCTAAATACATTTTTTCATCAGCAGTATATAGCAGTCTTTGCTCTAGAAGGATGCAGAACCCCTGACCTCTGTCTGGACAGTGTTGATTGGCCCTGTGCTGATCACATGCACTCTGCCAAGAAAAATAAACCTCCCAATACCCACCAAAGTGAGCATGTGCAGAGTGACTCCACATGATATGTGTTATCAGGAGATAAGAGAGGGACACTGGAAGAAAGGGAGGATCATAGAAACAGTGTTTTTACACAGTGTGGAGGATTAAACTCTTAGGTTTCACAGTGAGTATAACAAGCATGCTTTACTGCATATACAGACTGATTTTACTGTTGTGGGTTTTGTAACACTTCAAATTCCAACTCCAATAACATTCAAAAATTCATTCATGCTCAATGTCCATTTAGGCCTGGTTCACACAGGCCTCATCTTGTATAAGAACACTATGAACAGCAAGCTTTTGCAAAGCATTTGCAAAGCTTTTAATGAGCTTTGTTGAAGATTTAAGGCCTGGTTCACACCTATGCAGTTTGCTTTTCATCCGTTTCTGCAGTGCTTATTGTGGTGCATTTTTACATACGTGTTTTTGACACATCTTTCACGCTTTTTTTTGATGCGTTTTCCAAAAGCGCAGTGGCTGAAAAAAGCATAGCTGTGTATGTGTCCCATAGGAAACTATGTTAAATGGACTGTAGTGCATATCTTCAAAAAGCACCAAAAAACCGCATGGGTGTGAAACAGGCCTTAAAGTACCATTCAGCTCCAGTTTGTAAATGTTAAACACAGATCCTAATGGGAGTGCTGATTGTCATTTTAAATGAGCTGCTAATGGGCTTTACCACTACCTGAAGACTGTTGAAAGCCTGCTGACACCTGCTAGAAGCTTGTTTAACTGCTGACAAGCTTTGACTACTCTTTGACTATAGGTCCGGCCGGGCGGGAGCTCTCTCATTCTGGGTGGACATCATATGATGTTCTCTCAGGATTGGGCCTTGTACGGGCCACGCTGCAGTGTGATCTGTCATCCGCTGTGTCCACCAGACACAGCGGATGACAGATCAGTATACTGGGCTACTGCCAGTACCTTGTGATCACTTTGATCAATCACAACAGATTACATGGAAATTGTACACAATTACAATTTTTAGTTGCAAGAGCTACAGGGGTTAGACAAATTTATGGAAACACCAGGTAAAATAACTAAATTGTTACCTAATATGGTGTTGGACCGCTTTTGGCATCCAAGACGGCCTGGATTCTCCTGGGAATTCACAAATATAATTTTTAGATAATGGATAATGGAATCTGATACCACTTTTCATGCAAAAATCATTCCAGTTCTCACAGAGATGCTCGAGGTGGAAAATGAGCCTGACCTTGTTCTCCAAAATTGACCATAGTGGCCCTAAGATATTGAAGTCTGATGACTGCAGACCAGTGAAGGTGCGAGACTTTGTCTGCAAGCTCATCAAACCACTATTTCACGACACCAGCAATGTGAGTCGGTACATTATTTTCTTGGTAAATGGTGCTGTCTTCAGGAAACAATGTCTGCACATTGGGGTGCACATGTTCGTCAAAATTTGTACAGAGTCACTGCCAGTGGCTCTATCTTTCAAGGTGATAATGGGGCCTGAAGAATAACAAGATATGGCTGCCCAAACCATAAATGGACAACCACCATGCTTTACCACGGTGTTTGCCATGCGTAAACACATCCGGTGGTTGGGAACAGTGTGAAATTTGATTAATTGGACCGTATTATAGACTTCCATTGATCGATAGTCCCATTTATGGGTGTTGCACCACTCTCTCCTCATCTGAGCATTAATATCGGTCACTAGTCATTTGGCAATTGCAGCTCACCTGTGAATGCTTTCCTTATGGAGTTCCCTTCGCATAGCTTCGCATAGCTTTTGTGGACACAGGCATTGGAAGACTAAGATTGAGCTCTGCAGTCACTTTTGCGGAAGTTGTTTTCTAATTCCAGGTCACAATCCTGCGCAATGTCCTTATGTCTCTTTTGGTCAGTTGACCATGTTGACAGCGCTTAGACTGATCAGGCGATGTTTTCCTGGAAAACTGTATATGCCGTCATAACCTTAAAACTATACCTCACGACACCGCAAATAAATTGACAACTTCAGTCACAGAGGCACCAGCTAAGCGGGCACAAACAATTTGCCCTATTTGAAACTCAATAAGTTCTGACATAACTCTGTACTACTAGCAGTGCATGCAGAGAAGGACGAAAGTGAGGCTTCCCACTTGTAAAGTAGGTGTCTCATCACACAGCAGATGAATGTTACATCACTTCCACTATCAACGCAAAACATGTTGTCACTTTCACACCTGCATATTATGTAGTGTTTCCATATTTTTCTGTAGCTGCCTTTTTAAATGCTTACTAAAGTAGCAGCACAAAAATGGCTTTTAATAATACACAATATAGACACTATACACCAAGATGGACATAGGAGACTAGAAGAAGGAACAAAGTCAGTCAAGCAAATTTTTGAAGGGACAGGAGGGCTCATTTATAATGAAAGGTTGTAATATATTTGTTCTCAGTGCAGGGAGACTGGTAGTTTTCAGCCTGGAGCCACAAAAAGAAAACAATCTCCTGCGCTTAGTGCACTGGCACATGTATTGGCAGATAATTAATTAGGTAACATCAGATGTTCCAATCGTGACACCGGCTATGCTGCCTCCAGCAGGTCGAGGGAACCCAGAAATATAACTACAAAAACAAGGAACAGAAGGTGCATCAGTCTAGCGCAGCAATGGGCAATCTACGGCCCGCGGGCCGTATACGGCCCGGCGGACCTTTTAATCCGGCCCGCGGAGCTAGGCTCCCGCTAGGCTCCTCTCACAGTCCGCCCTGAAGACCGGTTAGCATGAAAATCTGTCTCCTATGAGGATCTGTCCCCCTCAACGTATCTGCACATGTGCCGGAGATCGCCGATCGGCTGCTAATGCCTGAAACTGGCACATGCGCAGATACGTCGAGGGGACAGATCCTCATAGGAGACAGATTTTCTTGCTACACCGGAACGGCGCGGGAACACGGCAAGAGGAACGCGCAGAGCAAAGGTAAGTGAATTGACACAGGGGGACTTGGGGACTTAATATGGGGGATGAATTACTATAGGGGGGATGAATTACTATATGGGGGATGAATTACTATGGGGGATGAATTACTATGGGGGATGAATTACTATATGGGGGATGAATTACTATATGGGGGGATGAATTACTATATGGGGGGGATGAATTACTATATGGGGAGATGAATTACTATATGGGGGATGAATTACTATGGGGGATGAATTACTATATGGGGGATGAATTACTATGGGGGATGAATTACTATGGGGGATGAATTACTATATGGGGGGATGAATTACTATGGGGGATGAATTACTATATGGGGGATGAATTACTCTATGGGGGATGAATTACTCTATGGGGGATGAATTACTTTGGGGGATGAATTACTATATGGGGGATGAATTACTATATGGGGGATGAATTACTATGGGGGGATGAATTACTATATGGGGTATGAATTACTATATGGGGGGATGAATTACTATATGGGGGATGAATTACTATATGGGGGGATGAATTACTATATGGGGGGAATTACTATATGGGGGATGAATTACTATATGGGGGATGAATTACTATATGGGGGGATGAATTACTATGGGGGGATGAATTACTATATGGGGGGGATGAATTACTATATGGGGGATGAATTACTATGGGGGATGAATTACTATATGGGGGATGAATTACTATGGGGGATGAATTACTATATGGGGGGATGAATTACTATATGGGGGATGAATTACTATGGGGGATGAATTACTATATGGGGGAATGAATTACTATGGGGGATGAATTACTATGGGGGATGAATTACTCTATGGGGGATGAATTACTATATGGGGGATGAATTACTATGGGGGGATGAATTACTATATGGGGGATGAATTACTATGGGGGGATGAATTACTATATGGGGGGATGAATTACTATTATGGGGGATGAATTACTATATGGGGGGATGAATTACTATATGGGGGATGAATTACTATATGGGGGATGAATTATATGGGGGATGAATTACTATATGGGGGGATGAATTACTATATGGGGGGATGAATTACTATGGGGGATGAATTACTATATGGGGGGATGAATTACTATATGGGGGATGAATTACTATGGGGGATGAATTACTATATGGGGGATGAATTACTATATGGGGGATGAATTACTATGGGGGATGAATTACTATGGGGGATGAATTACTATATGGGGGATGAATTACTATGGGGGATGAATTACTATGGGGGATGAATTACTATGGGGGATGAATTACTCTATGGGGGATGAATTACTATATGGGGGATGAATTACTATGGGGGATGAATTACTCTATGGGGGATGAATTACTATATGGGGGATGAATTACTATGGGGGATGAATTACTATATGGGGGATGAACTACTATATGGGGGATGAATTACTATGGGGAATGAATTACTATATGGGGGATGAATTACTATGGGGGATGAATTACTATATGGGGGATGAATTACTATGGGGGATGAATTACTATATGGGGGATTAATTACTATGCTTACTATGGGGGAATATTACTATACTTACTATGGATGACAACATACACATCATTCATCTACTCTTGGTCCGGCCCCCGGGTCCAATATATGAACCCATTGCGGCCCTCAAGTCAAAAGGTTTGCCCACCCCTGGTCTAGCGCATTACCTCAGCAATAATTATATTGATATAAAAAAGATGTATATTCGCAAGCAACATCAGAATAAATGCAGATCAATCCACAGTATACTTGAAGCAGCCTGGTCCCCCAGACAAGTCCCAAGTACAAAAAGTCTATCCAAAAGGCTGGGAGAGTTCCTCTCTTCCTCAGAGCCCTAATGTGCATTTATTCTTATGTTACTTGTTAGTATACATCTGCTTTTCTACATTAACAACATTATCACTGAGGTAATACGCTGGGCCGGTGCACCCTCTGCTCATTGTTTTTGCAGTTATCTTTCAGCCTAGAGATTCAGCTTTCCTAAAGATTAAAAAAAAAAGCAACACACTAAGGTTCTAACGCTCTCCTACCTTAACATTTAAAGCCCACTCCAGCCAATATTGCATCATTTGGAATAAAGGTTTATGTTGCTCTCAGTGTC